TTTAATTGATTTCCAGAGAGGAAGAGAGAGAGAGAGATAGAAACATCAATGATGAGAGAGTCATTGATCGGCTGCCTCCTGCACGTCCCCTGCTGGGGATCAAGCCTCCAACCCGGGCATGTGCCCTGACCGGGAGTCGAACTGCGATCTCCTGGATCATAGGTCGATGCTCAACCAGTGAGCCATGCTGGCAGGCTATAACAGAGCATGACTTTTAACTCTTATCCTCTCCTATGAGTGCTGTGGGGATTAGGCAGACCTGGGTTTAAATCCTGACCCCACAACTTTGGGAGTATTTAGCTGAGAACTTGTTTCCCATAATGGGAGCATTTGCTTTGCAGTCAGAAAGATCTAGATTTTCATCCTGGTGTCCCCATTTACCAGCTCTATTACTTTGGGCAAGTTACCTTATCACTTGGGGTCTCAGTCACTTCATCTGTAAAATGGGGCTGTAATAGCTACCTTGCAGGACTGTGATAGGACTACATAAGACATATACATAAATCCTCTGGCAGAGTTCAGTAGAAGTTAGTGATTGCGAATTTTGCATGCTAGTCTTGGCGAAACTGAAGGAAAAAGACAGATCCAAAGGGCTTGGGAGTGCTTCTCGAAGGAGAGGGTTGGTGGTGCCAAACTGGGAGGATGGTGGGTCGGTGGAGATTACTGGTGCCTGACCCTGGCCCTGACCCCTCCTGCCCTGCAGCCAGCGGTACTGTGTGTGTAACCCTGCCCTCGTGCGCCAGTTCCGGAACCCAGACACCATCTTCATCCTTGCTTTTGCCATCATCCTCCTCAATACTGACATGTACAGTCCCAGCGTCAAGGCTGAACGCAAGATGAAGCTAGATGACTTCATCAAGAACCTGAGAGGTGACCCCACACGTCCCTATCAGCTTTTCCTGTCCTTCCTCTGGGAAGGGGAAGGGGAAGAGGCAGGGTGGAGGGTGGGGTAGGAAAGGCTCCCTGGAAATTAACCTGTGATGTTCTCACTTTCTGCTAGGACTGGGTGTTCCTGGGGCATTCGCTTATTAATTCATTCACTCGTTTGTCCATCTACTCATTCCCTCACTGAATATTGACTGAGCAGGTCCTAGACAAGAGAAAGAAAAGGCCTGACTCTTACAGAGCTTATACTATTCCACCCAATCATTCATGTGTCTGTTCAGTCATCACTCCCTCCTTTTCTCTCTTCATTTGTGCCCATAAATACTTACTTAATTATTAGTACTCTTTCCTCTCTTTATGCATTTATTTTTTAACTCAACTATTCAGCCAGTCAGTTGACACAAACCGAGTTTCTCATGTGTGTTAGGAGCTATGATGGGTGCTAAGGACAGTGGAAGGGTATCTGCCATAGTTCTTGCCCCAAGAGAGCTCCCTGTGTGTGGGAGAGACTGACTTATAATACCAGAGACACAACACAAGGCAGAAAGTGAACGGTGATGTCAGACCATGATGTCAGGCAGGCCAAAAGGACTATCAGTGCTCAGAGGAGGGAGAGCCCACCTCCAAAGCCATCCCTGGAGGAAGCAGTATTCATTTTAAGGTGGATCTTGAAGGCACAGATAAAGTAGGGCTTACCTGGTAGTAAGAATAACAAAGGCACAGAAGTAGGAAAATGCGAAGTTGTTTGGAAATCAGTCGAGATGGGGTAGATGATCCAGTTGGAAAGGTCAGTTGGAAACAATATGCGAGGGCCTTGAGTGCCAGATTAAAGGTGTCGCCTTGACCTTTTTTCTTGTTTTATTGTATTGATGTCAGGCCTGCTTCTCACCAAAGAGCAACCTCCTAAAAATGGCACAGATGTTACGATTACTGAAACAGAAACCAAAGAAGGAAATAGAATTGCAGAAAAGCAAGCAGACAAGACAAATTTGCTGACCTTCAGGGTTTGCACAGTCGATGAGCTTAAGCACCCTGACAGCTGAGGTCGAAAGGCAGTGTGATGAAGGATGTTTCTTTAGCACCTGTCCAAGGAGGAGGCATGGCATTTCCAAAGGAGAAGACATTTTCTCCAACAGAAGGTTTAGAGAGGAGTGAGTGGGTTTGCTTACCAGACAGTCAGGAGTGGAGAAGGATGGTAGACGGGAGGAGGGAGGCAGATCAGAGGCCATCTGGAGCTGTCTCCCAGAATCCTGTCATTAGTCATTCATTCGTTCATTCATTCATTTCATTCATTCTCTCCCCTCCCCCCCACATGTATATGTATGTTTATATGTTTTTTACGTGTGTGTATATATGTGTATCTTTCCCTTTCCACTTATTAAGTGGAATAAACAAATGAAAGGAATACCTGCTCACTCCTGAACTTTTGGAAATATAGAAAATTAGCGTATTTCTTTTAATCACCCAAAATTCTGCCCCCTGGAGGCAATCATGGTTGACATTTTGGGGTGTTCTAGTCTTTTTTGCTAGCTTATATACCTTTTCATAAAGTAAGGATCATATATCCAATTTATCCCGCTCTTTTCACTTAACTTGCTACAGGAATTTTCTTATGCTTTTTGTAAATGTCAGGTTCTTAATAGCTATAAATTATTTTATTAAACAGATGTACTCACCTTTACTTAGCTATTCCTCTACTGTTAGAACTTAGGTTGTTTCAAAAATTTCCCCAGTAGCACTTGTACATATGTCTTTGTACATATTTCTGAGTAGTTCCTTAGGGCAGATTCCTAGAAGAGGAATCGCTGAATATTTAGGTTCTTCCCAAATTACCTTCCATAGTTATGTTAACACATGTGCCCACTTCTTTGCACTCTTACTAACACTGGATATTATTTAACATTATTTTTGCTAGTTCGAAAGGCAAAAAAAAGTATCTGATTGTTTTAATCACAGTGTGATCTGAGTTGTTTAGACAAAATCTTCACACTGGGAGGAAAGCAACTGACTATCTGGGTGAAAGATGCCTTTCCTGGCTTATCCTAACAGAGGGGTCGAGGGTGCCTACTCCTTCTAGTCCTGGCCATTGTTGTGGCCCAGGCCTGCATGTGGGGTGCTGTGGAGAACCCCTGCCACCCATTCCCAACATTTATGCCATATATCTCTTTGTTACTTCCCCCACCCAGGGGTTGACAATGGTGAAGACATCCCTCGAGACCTCCTGGTGGGCATCTACCAGCGAATCCAGGGCCGTGAACTTCGGACCAATGATGACCATGTGTCCCAGGTGCAAGCTGTGGAGCGCATGATTGTGGGCAAGAAGCCGGTAAGTGACTTGTGAAGCTTCAGAAGAGACAGGGTTTGGGTCAGCTTCTGCCACCAAGTGGAGTCAGTGCTGCTCTCTGAGCCCTAGGCCCACCTCACTTGCCGAACAGAGTGGGTGCTAATGCATTCCTTGGGGGTCACAGCGCACACTGAGTGAGACACTCTATGGGGATGCATCTAGCACACTGTGAGGCACACAGTGGGTGCTGTGTAAATCTTAGCCTCCTTCCCACCTTTGGTTTTGCCTATGCATCCCAAGTAAGGAGCCAAGCCAATAGTTGATAACCAAAGTCAAGAACATACTCTAGTCTTTTAGTAAACAAACTTTGACAGATGCCTTTCCACAGAGCCCAGCATTTCACTGGGCACCAGGAATGCAGATATGAATCAGACGTGGTGGTCTCTGTCCCTGGGGGCACTCACAGAACCTGGGGAGGGGAGTGTCAGACAAAGACAATATTCTGCTTTACAGTTAGTTTAAGGGATCACAGAGGAGGGAGAGGTCATTTTCAGTCCATGGAAAACAGGAATGGCTTCTTGGAAGAGATGACACTGGAACGTGTCCAAGTGACAATAATATGCATCAGAGGTAAATGTCCTCTTGTAGTCAGTGTTAAGGTGCCTAAAGCTGCCGTGTTGGTCTTGCTGACACCTATTTCTTCACGCCTGTCTAGGTCCTGTCTCTTCCTCACCGTCGACTGGTTTGCTGCTGCCAGCTCTATGAGGTGCCAGATCCAAACCGCCCCCAGAGGCTAGGGTTGCATCAGAGGGAGGTCTTCCTCTTCAATGACCTCCTCGTGGTAAGAGCACTGTGAGGGAGGAGATGGAGAGGAGGTGGTGAGCTGGGCTCCCGTGAGCTGTGAACCATGTTAACATCAGTGGTGGAGATATGGTGGATGAGGTGTTCTGCCATGTGATCTGTGCAGTCTTGGATAAGGTGTAGGCCACCCCTGCCCTCTTTTACCTCCTGGATCCATTTGGAGGTAGTGACAGCCACATGGGGGCAGAAAATATGAGGAACAGGAGCGATGATAGGCTCACAGCCTGGGAAGTGATAGGAAATGTCCTGGTCCACGTCAGTAGCCTGGAGGGCTGGGTAGAGGGAGGTGACCCTGTGACCCTGGGGTCAGTCTGGAACCTTCAGGTGGTCAGGGTGCTTGAAGTGGTTCTTAAAACCGAGCTTGTGCCTGGCCGGTGTGGCTCAGCGGTTGAGCATCAACCTATGATCCAGGAGATCATGGTTCGATTCCCGGTCAGGGCACATGCCTGGGTTGCAGGCTCGATCCCCCAGTGGGGGCGTGCAAGAGGCAGCTTATCAATGACTCTCATCATTGATGTTTCTATCTCTCTCTCCCTTTCCCTTCCTCTCTCTGAAATCAATAAAATATATTTAAAAACAAAACAGAAATAAAACGAGCTCATCGCCATGCTGACCTGCATGTTTCAGAGCTGGGACTCTGAGGACTCTACAGGTGGGAAGGGAATTTCAGGGTCTCTTGCCCAGCATCTTACTCAGGGCCCCCTGCTTGTGCGACTGTGAGGACAGAAGGCTGCTAAAATCTGTCTCCCAATGGGTTTCCTCCGATTGTCACTCAACCCTTGGGATCACAGAGAACAAGTTCTCTCTCTGCTCAGGGATTTGAGGACAGTGACTTGTGCCCCTTGATCTTTCCTCCTTTAGAGCAGGTCTCTCAATTTGGCACTATTGACATTTGAGGCAGGATAATTTTTTGTTTTGAGTGCCGTTCTGTGCATTGTAGGATATTTAGCAGCAGCCTGGTCTCTACCTACTAGATGTCTGTCGCACTTTTCAACCAAAAATGTCTCCAGACATTGCTAAATGTCCCCTGGGGGAAAAAGTCACTCCCAGTTGAGAATCACTGCTTTAGATGAAGCCCCTTCAGTGCCCTCTCTGGGCCTTAATTTCCTACTCTGTGAAATGGGGCTGCTCCCTATCACATAGGTTGTCCTAAGGATGAAATAAGAGGTCAGATGTGGAATAGCCTAACCCAGAGGAGTGCCTGGCCCATATAGTTGTTGAGTAAATGTTTCAACATTCGCCATGCACTGACCCCTGTGTGTGTCCAGCCCCATGCTAGGCACTGAGTACACAGAGATGACTGAGACTCAGTCCTTGTTTTTTGGGGAGCTCACAGTCTGAAGGACTAAAAAAATATTTTGCCTAACTACACTGTAACCCTCCTAAAATCAAATAATTTGCTTTAAAACTTTTCTTAATCCTTACCTAAGGATATGTTTTTATTGATTTTAGAGATAAAGGAAGGGAGAGAGAGGGAGAGAGAGAGAGAGAGAAAGAATGAAACATCAATGTGAGAGAGAAATATTGATTGGTTGCTTCCTGTATACTTGACTAGGGATGGAACCCACAACCTTTTGGTGTATGGGACAACTCTCCAACCACCTTGCCAGGGCCAAATAATTTGCTTTTAAATGCAAATTACAGACTGCTCTACTTGCAGACTGTCTGAGGTGTTCATAACCTATGCTAGTTGGGTCCAGAGTGTCCAAGTACTTGATAAAGACCTTGGGTTGTTGAGAGGAAGACATTAACTGCATACATTGGTTCAGCGGAGATTACCATTGTGTGCTGGGACCCTTGAGGGTGGGTGAGATGCATGAAAACCAGACTCCCGCCTCCTCTGGTACGGCAGGGGGCGATCACACACTCAGAGCACACTCTTCAAGCCTGATTATGGTGAAAAGCACTGAACCAGCACTCTGGGAGGTGGGGGTGGATCTGTGTGGGGTGTTAGGACAGGCTTCCTGGGGGGGGCATTCAGTTACTTCCTGTGAAAACTATAAACGCCTGTTTGTGCATAGTCATTACTTCAGGGACTTGCATTTTCTCCTGTTGTGCTCCTCAAGCTTCAGCTCTCCCCAATTTGTGGGTATGTGTGTTTGTGTGTGTATATATGTCTGTGAGTGGCAGTGGGAGGAGAGGGAGGTGATGAGAAATAGGTGCCATTTGGAAATTCCCCACCCCAAACCCTGCCTCTTGTCTTTTTCCCACCCTGTGAAAGGTCACCAAAATTTTCCAGAAGAAGAAGATCTTGGTGACGTACAGCTTCCGTCAGTCTTTTCCCCTAGTGGAAATGCACATGCAGCTCTTCCAGAATTCATGTGAGTCCCTTCTTGGATCCCATCATCCCAAGAGTCTATGCCATGGCCCCCGTGCTCATCCTTCATCCACACCAACCTCCAGTTTGGGGAGTCATTTATAACTGGGCTAAGGTCACCTACTTGGTCCCAGGATGTAGGGCAGGCCAAGGTGAAGTATGGTTTGGGTCTGTGCCTGGGGAGCTCATGGTCCCACAGTGTGTATGTTTTCTGGTGGGCCGAAGAGATGGTAATAACACTGCTCTTTGAAGGACTGAGCCAGAGGAGCTTTGTTGGGTGGCATTCTGGGCAGAAAAAGCAATGTGAGTGGAGGTAGAGGTGTAAAGGAAGGGGTCCCAGAGGGCAGCCAGAGTTCGGTTTGTTGCTACATCCCAGAGTAGAGGGAGTAATAGGTCTATGACTCCCAGGAGGCTTTTGGGGATAAAGGAGAGCCACTGAAGATGCTTGAGCAGAGAAGAGGCTCAATCAGAGTTGACATTAGAAATATATTTTGCATATGAACCACCTTGCTTCAGTTCTGACAGAGGGGCCCCGCCTCCCGTTGCCCCACAGATTACCAGTTTGGAATTAAGTTACTGTCTGCAGTACCTGGTGGGGAGCGAAAAGTCCTCATCATCTTCAACGCCCCCAGCCTCCAGGATAGGCTGCGCTTCACGTCTGACTTGCGTGAGTCCATCGCTGAGGTGCAGGAGATGGAGAAATACCGCGTGGAGTGTGAGTAGCCCCACCGTGTCTCCTTCCCCCCATCCTGATACGGTGCCTTGGGGACACCAAGAATCCTGTCCTCTAAAAGTCTCAGAGCTGAGGGTTAGCTTGCCCAACCTTCCTACCCTCATTCCAGGAACCCTTCAGCCTCTGCTTGAATACCTTCAGTGACAAGGGGCTCATTACCTGTCAGCCTTTGATTATTATTCCAAGGCCTAATTATGAGCAACTCTTCTTTCTAACGAAAAGCATCAGGGAGATGAATCAGGGTATTGGAGGTGGCCTCTAGTTTCAGATCCCAGGTATGCTACTTATTATCTGGGTAAGCTGGACCAACTTGACTCTCTGAGTCTCAATTTCTTCCTACATAAATCTGGATAATGAAATCTCCTTTATAGGATTGAGGAGATTCAATGAGATAAGGCCAACATAGTGCCCTCCGTGCTAGTAGGACATTTGTGTTGAACATCCTAGGTGACCAGCAAATGTCATTGTCCTTCCCACCCACTCCTCTCCTCTCCCCACATGACAGCGCCTCAGCTGAGTCCTGGCGGCCCATCCTCCCAGCCCCCAGCGAGCGCACCAAGTCATTTTGATCATATATGATGGGAAATAGTGATTACAACTCATCCTTCTCAATGCCGTCCAAGTTTTTTCTATTACAGACTAAGCAGTTACAGTTAAGTAACATAGTGTTAAGGACAGAAAGAGAGAGAGGTGGCTGACAGCTCCTCCGCCAGACCTTCACAGTTCAGGGTCCACTCTACTCCTCAGCAAAGCAGGTCCCACATTTTCGTTCACCAGATCCTTGACATTCAGGGAGAGGGGCAAGCGTGCCAAGATGAGGGGAGGGGGATAGATGGCCCCATGACCTCCGCAGGGTGGTGAGGGTATAAGGAGGCCGAAGAGCACAGGCTCTGGACTCAGGCAGACCTGCCTCCAGATTGTCGGCTCCCCCGTTTGCAGCTGTATGGCCCTGGGCAAGCTCTGTGACTTCTCGAATTCTCAGCTTCTTCCTCTGAAAAATGTGGATGATAACACTGGCCTCGGAACTCTTGTGAGGATTGAGAGAGAGCAAGGGCGCACAGCACCCAGCGTACTGCGGCACATACTAGAGGGCGCAGTTCCCGTCCATTTCCTGCTCCTGCCCTTCCAGGAGCTCTCTGCTCTGGAGCAAAGTGTCTGAGAGCTGAGCGGGCTCTGGAACGATTACCCTTTGCCATAGTCTAGCGGGGCATTCGTGCCCCTACTGTGAGCCAGCCACTGTGAAGCTGTTTTGAAGGGCAGGGCCGGATTAGGAGACCAAACTGAGGGTGGGCAGCGGCAGGGGAAAGCAAGAGAGGCAAGAGGAGGCAGGGCAGGCACTGAGAGAGGAAGCCAGAGGAGATGGTGTGAGGAGGGGCTGGGGGCTGCAAGGGCTTTAGGAGATGTAGCTGAGAGTGGGGACGTGCTGGAGGTCCAAGGGGCAAAGCCAGAGCCCTGGAGACAGGGTGGAAAGGCCCATAGAGGCCTGGGGTCAATCAGGTGTCCTCTCACTCCTGTTCCTGACCTTGGATCCCTGTCTCCTCCCCCTGCCACCCAGCGGAGCTAGAGAAGCAGAAAGGTATGATGCGGCCTAACGCTTCACAGCCCGGAGGGGCCAAGGACTCGGTGAATGGCACGCTGGCCCGCAGCAGCCTGGAGGACACCTACGGAGCCGGTGATGGGCTCAAAAGGGGCGCGCTCAGCAGTTCCCTGCGAGACCTCTCAGACGCAGGCAAGCCTCCTGGGCCCCTGCCCTAGCTGGGGAGACGTGGGACCCGGTGTCCTCTTTGCCTCCTTGCACTGACTGGCTGCCTTCCCTGCACCTGCCACACACGCAGCCCCCTGCCTTCATCCAGAACCCGGGGTGCTGCACTGCAGGGGGCCCCCGGAGCCAGGTCAGAACAGGTGGAGCCCAGGGTTGGGGCCAGGGCATGAAGCGGGGCCACAGTCTTCGCCCCTCTCTGTGGCTCCACCTCCTCTCTCTTCTATTTCTCCCGCTCCAGCTCTCCTCCTCCATCTCTTCCTCCTCTTGCTCCTCCTTCTACAGCTCTCCTCCTCCCCCCCCTTCAGCGGGGGAAAGGGAATAGGGGTGTCCATCCCCGGGAGGGGCCCAGGCTGGCGCCCAGCTCAAGAGCCCAGCGGAGTGGGGAGGGGGGCTGCCACTCTGACGTTGGGCTCCTTGCTTGTGGGCGCAGGGAAGCGGGGGCGGCGTAACAGCGTGGGATCGCTGGACAGCACCATCGAAGTAAGTGCCAGCTCCTGCCCAACTCGTCTCTGCATGAGCCCAGCCCTGCCCTGCGTGGACCCCCGAGGAGGAGGGGCCCTGTTGCTCCGCCCTCTTCCCTGCTGGGAACCCTGCGGCTACCTCTCCCAGCCAACCACTCTCTCCATCTGTCCTCAACTCTTGTCTGTCTTCACTCTGCCTGTCTCTCAGTCTGTCTTCCGCTCTCCCGAGCCCCCCGTCAACCCCTGGGCCACTCTGAGTAGTGAAGCCCTTGGAGTTGGGCCTCGAGGAGCTGTTGCCTCCAAGTCCTGCTCTTGGAGCCTGGGCGAGTCACTCTGTCTCTCTGGGCCTAACATTCTGCCTGCCTGCAAAATGGGGGTGAGGAGGAGGGACCGCTAATTTGTCTTCTCCCAGCTGAGGCTCAGATGAGATAGTGGATGTGACAGCACAGCTCTGCGAGCTGGGGAGCTTCATGCACAAGTACAGGACTGTTTTCATGATGCTGTGGGGCTTCCCGTCTCCCCAGCTCTAGCCTTCAGGGCCTGGGGGGGAGCTTAGGTTTGGGGATTTAGGATGTCCAGGCTGGCCTGACTCCCCCCCCTCCCCCTTCCAGGGGTCCGTTATTAGCAGTCCACGCCCTCACCAGAGGAT